ATTGACGGTAAAAGGAAAGATACCTGATGAGCCAAGCATGAGTTTTGATAACCAGTCTTCATGAGCTGTCCCCATACCTTGTGAAACTACATTGACAGAATATATGTTGACAAAAGAGACTAAGCACAAGCAGGAAAGTATCGTGACATTCTCTTAGGTAATTTATTTCCAAATGACAAGGAGAAATTAAGACTAACTAACAGTACAAATGGTTCTAATATTCATAAAAATAAAATATTCCAATGAGTTGTGAATATCGAGAGAGAGAAAAAATTTCTTTTAATAGGATCAAAGTAATTGTTCATGGTACACATACTAAGTCTCTCTTTGAGAAAGCTGCATCTTCAGATTAGTGGAGATTACCTGTTGATAGAATTCCCTCGGGGTATATTGATGCCCTTGCTTATCTTTGATAAGGGAACATTGACAAATATCCTTTCTGATTTCATTTGATCCTAATAAGTATGACGAGCAATAGTCTCCACATGATGTGAAGCCTAAAGTTGTAACAAGTGTATCCTTTTGTAGTCTTGATTAACTCTTCACAAAAAAGACTGTTCTTATACAGGTTAGTCCAGAGCCATCGAGCAGTCATATCATAACAATAGCATTACAATTTGATCTAATTCATCCCATATTTAGCGTGTTCGATGACATTAATTAATAAGAGTCACCCTCCAACCCTAGGCAACAACTTCTGAGTACTTTTTGGAAATTTAGACCATGTAATATTTGAGTTAAGTGTCATGGCAGGATTATTCCAAAACTTAGTTTGACTCATCTTATTTGGTGCACTTGCAAAGTATACGTGGGTTGTCACAATCCATGGAATGATGCAAGCATTGAGAGTTTGATCCAAGCTACTTTCTATCATCATTCTTGCTTGATCTTTGCATTTAGCATACTGTCTTTCACACATTCTGAGAAGCATCTAGCTTAATCTTTGTATATACTCTTAAAAGGCAGAATATGTGAAGAATCAGCTACCATCAACAACCAAGTTATATATCTACTATTGGGCCGCAGAATACCTTAACCCACTGAACATGATACACTGTCAAATCTGAGACCAGTTCTCTCCCAGTTCAGACCAGTCACCTGAAAGAAACATCTTGATATACACCACCTTTGTCCCAAGCCTTTCATGATGAGCAATCACTATGGCTTCCCGAAGTTCACATGCTTCATCTTAAATTTTAAGGTAATAGCAACAGGGCAAAGGGCCAAAAAAAGAAAATGAAAAGGAGCAATTACTTGCAAAGTGCTAGTAACCTTTTTGGAACTTGGCCCTCTGATGCATGGTCACAACTTATTCAAGAATTTATGATTCTTCAGCATTGTCCTCTTGTAGCTGTTCACTGTATCCATCCAGGTTCTCAGATGTCACAAAAAGACTGGCAATTAATGATCATGACATATACAAAGCCAAAATGTCAGATAAACTCTTAAGAAATTTATGTCAGGTAAATTATAAGCCATTAATTCATCAGAACTAAATAGGAGATATGCACAACCACCTTTACCACCAGATGTTGTAAGAACATGACCCTTTGATGAACTTGTCAAACTGCCTCAGCTTTCTGGACAACCATAGATAGCAGATTTGCATTAGGTGAGCAGGATTTTCTGCCAACCAAATTGGCATCTTTGGTCTACATCTATTATATCGAGTTACATTCCCAGGTTCTCTCAGTGATAGGACACATCAGTAACCTCCTTATGATCGATACTGACTACCATCTGAGATCTAAAATACTTATCAAACCATCTCAAATTTATTTTCGATCTCTGTCGACAGAGCATTAGATCTCGCTGCACAGAGGATGACTTGTGTCTCCAGCAATGAACTCATGGGCAATTCCTGTGCATTCAATGGAACTATAGCCGGTCTATTCATTCCTTATACACCTTGCATCATCCAATCAATCATTTTCTGCATAATATTAGCCATTAGGACAAACCGACCTCCATCATATGGTTCCAATGATATCAAATGATTCCCAACACGCTCACCCACCTTATTGTCGGCGGCCGGGGGGCGAGGAAGAACTGGACGACGCGGCTGGCGGCGAAGGGGTCCCGGATGAGGCCCGAGGCGAAAACGTT